TTGCTAGCGTTTACCAGAGCTGGTCTTTTCCCCTAAAAGAMTTTACAGGGTAACACTCTCATCCTACTGTTTGCTCAGCCTATTACATACACTGCAGTCTGGAATCTATGTTGTAGAAGAGACTATACTGCTGCTTGGGCTGAAAGCAGCATCAAAACTGCATCGTTCAGTCCAACAGATSCTTTGCAAAGGAGCAGTGTGAGTCCTAGAAAGAAGCAGAAATCAATGAACAATTACCCCTTAACCCTGCTGTAATGCAAGCAAATAACGCAGGTACGCGGACACAACGCAAAGGTGACTCGCTGGCGGCTCCTGTGTTGCCAAACACCAGTAATGCACCAAAACCTGTGCCATTGTGCTGCCTCTCAGGAAAGCCAGACCTAAGAACTCTAGCTATTCAGGTGATGTGCAGCTCCCAGCCTAACTAGTGAGCAGAAATACACAGGCCTATGAACTAATTCACTGTAACCCCCAATGAGTCCTCAGAAATGATGAGGCCCTTCCTCGACACTGACTTTTCTGTCCCCGGACTTGTATTTTCCAGATAATCAAAACCAAAACAAACCAAAAAACAAACAATCAAAAGAAACAAAACAAAACCAGGATCCTGGTGTATTTATACCTCTACATATGCCCCACCACAGAACTTAGAAGGTTGCTGGCAAATCTTCCCAAAAGGCTATTAAGTTCAATATTTTGCTTTAATACCAGAGAATAGTGTCATCTGCAGCAATGTTACTGTTTTCCTCAAAGGTTATCCATTGCAAATTTCTTTCTGTCTTTAAACAGCTGTGTACTACATATAACTAAACATCAAAAATACTTTAAGCTGAGAAAGCAGCTGTCTCTCCTTTTTGTCTGCCAAATGCAGTCAGCACTGAGGATTAGTGAAGTCTGCTACTCTTACACAATAGCACTATTCTGATTTTCACAGTTCAAGTAAAACATTAAGGAGAAGCTAAAATAAGTTAAAAATACATTTAGGCACCTAAATGCTTGGCAAAGCAAAAGTCACTTTCAAAGTGGAAATCAGACTCTCGTACTTCTTGGGTTCTTCTGAAAACTTTAATTCTGCAGGGCAACACTGGCACAATGAAGGAGACAAGTGGTGGCTGCACCTGCCTCCCACTTGCAGATCCCAGCGGTGAGCAGGAGCCCGGGGCGCTGCGGCAGGGCAGGCCCGACGGGCGCCTCGCGGCCCCGCTCTGCGGCGCCCCTGCTGCTGCTCCGCGCCCCGGCTGGATCCGCAGCGTGAGGACCCCCAGGGGACACCCCCTTGCTGGGATGGAGGGGTGACTCGTGTTCCAGAGGGGGCAACGCAGGCCAGCGGGCCGCTGCAGTCCCCGCAGCAGGAGCCCTTCTGCTGAGGGGCAGCAACCRCGGCCCGGAAAGGCACCGAGACTGGGTCACCTCCAGGTGCTTCTCAAGCACGTATCCTTTGTCACTTAATTCAACCCACCATTCGTACCATCATATTATTGCATCAATCAGTTCAGATCTAAACATCTCTTATGCTCCAAGTTGCAGAACCTGGTTTATCTAATGTGCAAGAATATTCTTTCAATTTTCAGTCTAAATTTCTAAAGCACCAATTTAAGCCCATTCATTCCTGTGACAACATCTCTTTCAGCTTCAATCATTCTTATCTTTCCTTTGTATTTATCCACTTAACGCATTTATAGACTTGACGATATCTCTGACACATTTCCCAGACCATTATTCTATAAAGTTGTAATTTCCAGAGAGACATTAGAATATCTAGCAATTAATGCATTGGAATAGAAACGTATGTACCCAAACAATGGTTTTCAAAAATTTTTTTAGAAAAGCTTGACAAAACAGTCCTTGTCACTACTATCACCTTCCATGTGAAACGGCCGCATTCCTATAAAACACACTAGGTGAAAAAGATGAAAAAACATACTGTGAACTTACTGGTGGCAGTGGATGCATGTATAAAGACAAAATCCAGAGTATCCTATATTGGTATATGAAACTTTTAAAGACACATATTGTAGGGTTTAGAGTCAAGCAAAAGTAAACATGCAGAGAGAGGAACACAAGCTCTTCATGCAACTCAAACTCTTTTTCAAATCTGAAGTAGAAGAGGGAGAGGAAAAAAATAAAATTAAAATCTTAATCTGAAAAAACTAAGTAGGACAACTCTGTTTCCTTTGGTTTTTGTAAAGCTAGAGCCCAGCCCTGCTGGTCACCCTAGGAGGAAGAAGGTGTGCGAGGTGCAGCTAAGAGTGGGACTTGGGCACTCCCGCAAGCTGAAGCGCGTTCGCCTGCGGGGAGACTTGCCCTGGATCAGCCGGAGACTTGTCCTAGCAGCAGGGTAAGTTTTCATCCTCTCAGTCAGGTAGGACCATGCCAAAACTTTGCTTCACTACAAAGTGAGCAGAGACTAAAATGCTTTTGTTCTGCTTCCCAGTGGAGTGGCTGGTTCATGAGAGGGATACGTGGGCATGAAACTGCTTCCAGAATGACCAGAAGCAAAACAGCACTGCCCAGAGCCCGAAGGAAAGGGGTGCAGAGCTCCAGCCATGGCTCTGAGCCCGACTCCTCGGGGCAGGGAGGCTGCAGGCGGGGACCCGCTGGGGACCTGGCTGTCTGCAACGCTCCCTCCCCTGCTGCTCCAGCAATCTGAAAATTTTCCTTAAATCCCAGATGCCTGTAAAAGAATTTTCTGCCCAGAACTTTATCTAGAGCTATTAAATGGAGAAAGCATTTTTAAACACAGAGAATATATTCTGATGATATTTGTATGAGGACTTAAGTGGAAAAGCTTAATCAAAACAGTTCAAGAAGAGCTAACTTCTTTTCCATAATTAAATATTGCACCAAGAAAACAGGTTTTGGAATGAAAAGCTTTTGGTTTTAGACTGGAATACAAAAACGACGAGAGATCTTAAGATTCCATCTCCAAAAGTGACCKATGAAGAATTATTAAAAAAAACCAAAATATGTTATGACAATTATGTGTATATACAAAGATATATATACACAATCATACATCGTGCTTTCTTTTATCRTTTGGGTAGGTACTACACACACTGCCTCACAACAACAGTGCAATGTAAACATACTGATTTCCTCATTTATGAGATGTTTAAATRCTTGTCTGTGACCTGTCACAGCACCTGAAGAAATATTCATACCTCTCTATCCTAAAATGAGAGCACTCGTCACTTAGAAGATGAAAATGACTTTTCTGGGGAAGATCCCCAGCACTAGRCACAAAAGGGTAAACAAAAGTGCAGCGAGCTAGAAAGCGGCAGAGAGCAAAGCAGCTCCATCACATCGATGCCCTGCTCACGTGAGAAAAGCAAGAAGGAAATCATGGGCTAAAATCGCTCTCAAACACAGGCCGAGTCCTGCACTACCCTGCTCTTTTGGAAAGCACTTCAAGAAAGCCCTTCAGTCGTTCAGTAAGCAATAACGCAAGTGTCTGAGGACAGATCTATATCTCAAATGATACGAAAGAAAAGAAATTGCACACAACCCTGGTCTGACTGGGCTGCAGTCCCCGTCCCTTGGAGGGTGTCCCTTTAGCTCTGCAGCAGGCCCACCCAGCTGCAGGTTGCTGTCTTCTTAGAGCCCATTAGGCTGACTTTAACACAATTAAACATACCTCAAGGCAAAACACCAACACAAAACAAAGCTAAACATCAACCCTGTCCATAAGCATTCTGTTAAGAAATTGCACTTTGGTGGATAAAAGTTTCTCTCAAACTAGGAACAGTTCTACTCAGTTCCTCTCCTTCAGATGACCACAAAACAGGGATGGGGAGAAGGCAGATATTTTGTTTCTATTTAACATGTCCACCAAAAATACATTATATTGTACAAGAACATTTCTGCTCCATTAGAAGGAAAAGGGAATAATTATACTAAACAATATTTTACTGTCACAAACAAGACAAATAAGATTACGCAGCACGCACCTTTTTTTCCTCCTATTGTGCTGTAACTATCCATCATATTCATTGCTTTTCATGGGGTATGTTGCTTTTACCTATGGCTACTAAATGCAAAGTGTATTAGGTCAAATTATTCGTACCAAATCACATGGAACAAACTGTGCCTTTTTTAACATTACCATATTTTAAGCAGTTAAGAGTAGTCAGATATCGAATGATCTAAACAAAGCACTTGCTTCCCCTCACCATTTAACAGCAGTAGACAAGAAGAGTTTTCATTTGGAGTTGACTTTCCACATGTTTTACTAGTAAACTTCTAATTTTTACAGTCACTGGTACTATGACAGTCTATATATGTATTTTTTAAATATGTTTACAAACAATATAACTGGGGCACGGGATGTGTCACCAAGTCGCCCTATTTCACCCCTTTCCTGGCTCAGGGGAGGGCAGCGGGTCCCCTGRTGGGGCCGCAGGCCCTGGGTGCTTGGGCAGCCGCTCTGCCCGCCCGCGGCTTGCGGGGCAGCCCAGCCCCTCCACTGTCTCCCCAGCACATTTACAGAACTCAGAAACCCATTTGCAAAAATTTCCCTGTGGTAACTGCAAAACTGGAGGCCCTTGACTACTGCAACTTAGGCTGGACATTGTATTTCCCCCACAAAACAACTCCCTGTACATAAATAAAGCGGAACAAGACTAAGTCGCAAACGTGCTAAGCTCATCCCTGGGTATGTGCGAGCTCTCTGCTCCCCAGCAAGCCTTAATGCATCTCAGAAGGAGTCCTCTGTGATCGTGGCAGGAAGGTAAAGCTCTCTTGGGCGTTTTGGACTGCAGATTACGACTACGCTCTGTGCTTAGTGCATATTTCTCTTAGCAAGAGAGGTTGGCTGCCTGTGTTTTTTGCTCGAGATATGGCAAAGYACTGTTTGCCTCTTAATAGAGCCATCAAGGACCATTCTCTCCAGTTTACCATGCAGATTTGTATTCCTTGCACAAAAGTGTATGAGTTTAATTGGAACAGACAGCATGGTAGCATAATTTTATATAACTGTTTGCAATTACTTCAATGGCAGCTTCCACAGAGCTCTCTGTGATATTTCAAGAGCATTTTTAAGCATAAAGTATACATATCRGAGGGGGGAAAAAAAGCAGTAATTTGGTGCAGCTGTACAAAGTGGATTAGGGAAAGGTATCAGTAGTAACACAGATATTCAGAAATGGGAGACATTTYGCCCATCTGAGCACAACTATAAGAGCTAGTGACATTAATAGYTTTGTAATAGACGGATTAACTAAAGTATTCTCTTTTACCTAAGYGACACATAAGGAAAAGACAAAATTACAGGTTAGGCGGAGATGTGGGTTGTTCTTGGCTCTCAGATGAGCAGGGTAAGAGGCATACGGACGCAAGGAGCAGCCCAGGGGAAGACCCTTCTCCGCGTGGCCCAGGGCGGCTCCAGCGCCGCCTCGTCCGGACGAGCGGATCTCCAGCAGCCGCTCCTGACACGGCTCCCCACGCTCCTCACTTCTGCCTAAGCTCATGTTGCCCTTATATGCAACATACATGATGCCTTTATTCTAGAAGAAGATGCAAAACAGACACTTGCATAAGACCTTCTTTTCTAAACAAAAAAAATATTCACAAATATTTAGAGGAATATTGTGCGCACAACGGCAATAGGGGCAGAGAACACTTTGCTTAATTAGACCATAATGGAAAAAGCTCATTGGGGAAGTTTGAAGCTATAGGAGGCATATTTATGGAAGACAGCAACCCAGCTCTCTTCCTGAAGTGGCTTTATGGTGCTAAGTCTTGTGGTTTCATTAGACAACAGATTTATTATTTATTTGCTTTTGAAAAGACTCTCTGTGGGAGGATAAAATACAAGACCCAGAAGATCCTTTTTGACCTTGAACTTTATGATCCTGCAAATAGATCTGTCACCCACTCAAAGCAGACTGGAATAATACAGTGGGGACAGACCATGAAGAAATTGAGCTGTTAGTAATAAATGTAAATTATGTTGAAAAAGTGACCCACGAGAGCTACTGGGTTGAAGATGAAATTCTCGGGGAGAGGGCCAGGCAGACTGGTATTTATGCAAGATGAATTGGCTTTTGCTGAGCTGGGCTGATTTCATTTAGGATTTGTTTGGGTATTAGGATTTGTTTGGGTGTTTCCTCATCCCGCTGCATGAGGTGCACACCGCACTGCAGGAATAATCTGAACACATCACATGGGCTCACACCAAATGAACACAGTTCAAACAAGCATATTAAAGCTTCCTGATACACTGCTGCTCCACAAAACTGATCAATCAATCAGAAAAGGCTCTACTAAAACCCACACGTTCCCGTCAGACAATTAAAGTGTACTACGAGAGCAAAGAGCAAGAGCTAATAGCAACGAGTCACAGGACGGTTTACACCTAAGTGCCTCACAGTACTASTGACCACTAAAATTACCCGGACAGGCAACAGGTTCTGTGCTGCAGCTCTCCCATCAGCTTTCTCAGAGCTTCTTCAGCATCTTCCTACTACAGGCCAGGAAAGCCTGGGAATGGCTTTGCTGTGTACAACATGGGATGCTTCTTCCCAAGATGCCCTCTGCAGACGGCCAGGAAGATGCCTCTCCCCTGCTGCTTTGCATCTCTCTGTGCTTGGTGACAGGCTTGAAAGCAAAAAAAAAAAAAACCTCAGAAAATCAGGATTTCTAAATGGAGGAAACACTCTGGCTCTGCTCCTGTGTGCAATAACATGAAAAGAATGTTACAAGGTAGAAAACCTATTATAACCCCATTTACTTATGTATATGTGCAGGATGTTAGTGCGGCCCGGAGCTATAAACCCAGGTGGTGCAGTGAGGGCTTCCGACACATCCCAACAGGCTCCCCTCTGGAAACCTCAGCCCCAGCAGTCATTATCTCAGGCTTTTTTTTTTTTTCCCCCCCTTTTTTTTTTTGTAGTGGGAAATGGAAGCATTTCTATCCCTTGTGAAACACACCTTCTGACAGCTCAGAAAAGAAGCAGAGAAATAGAAAGAATCCAAATCTATTAGGTTTTCAAATCATACTTTTAAGCAGATGCTTTGGTGTTTGGTTGGCTTATATTCTGCACAGGTAAGATAAGAAAAAAAGCAACTGCAAGCGTAAGTTCACAAAAATAATTGGTTGGATTAACTGCCAAGGAAAAAAGACTTTCACTTAGAATAATGGCCTAGTTAAAGTAATGAAGGTTTGTGTACTGGGCATAAAATTAAATTTATTTTGAATACCTCGGCTTAAAAAGGTAAAAACCTAACAGCCATTGTAGCAATCGCTGAAAACTGAGCAGTTAGAGGAGACGACCACTGCAGGACATGAGCCCATATATTTTTCCAGCCCAATTGGTTGGGCGTAGGTTACAATTAAAGCTTGTAACTCACTGCCCCAACTGTAAAGGCAGCAGGTTACCCGCCAGGCGCGGCGCGGGGCTCCCTGCCAGCTGTGCGCATCGCAGCTCTCCTTGGGAAGGGCTACAGCCAGGCACACCGAGAGGAAAGTGTTTAAAAATGCAAGGAAATAAATTCAATTCAAACAGGTCTAGGAGGCAGCGAACAAGATACTCAAGATACACACCTATGCTGTTTCTAGATTGTTTATTCCCTCTGTCTGCCTGTTCCCTGGTTCTGCACTGACAGGGCTGTATTACCTTTTCCTCTTGAACGCGATGGGCTCCCCGGCTCTCGGCCAGCTGCAGGGGTGGCARGGGCTGTTCCTGGAGAACTGCTCGCCCTGGTGACCAGTTCCACGTCGCCGAGCAGAGAGGCTCACAACACCAACCACCTGCCTTAATAACCAGCCAGGCAGCTCCGCGGGCTCTAACACTTTGTTTGGCTGTGACAGGGCTGTGCTCTTAAATACTCAGAGTGCAGGGAAAGGTAAAGGGAGCAGAAGGACAGCAAAAAAGTCCACTCAAATTAGGCTGTTTTGGCACATGAATCTTTAGGCAATGTGTGGCATAATCACAGGGTCATAAAAGTCCCTGGATATGGAGATCTCTGTGTTCCATAAGGACTAAGCCATGTTTCAAGCCTAACCTCCACATAATGCTGCTTCAACTCACAGAGGAGAGTCAGAGAACAGAGACTTCGTTTTTGCTATCTTCTCCCGGCATGGTCTGGCTGCACTGGAAGAGCTACAACTGTATCCTCCCTATTCGGCCTGGCAGCAAGAGGCTGCTGCTCACATTTCAGCCCAAACTACTCATCCCTTTCATCAAAAACATGACCATTTTTTTCAGGGGGGGGGGGGGGGGAGAAAAAAAAAAAAAAAAAAAAAAAAAAACCTCAGAAAATCAGGATTTC